TCGTAGCATTATGGATATGAAATGTTTTTTATGCACAATTGAGAGTTATATTGCTAACTTATTACTATGATGTAGTAATATATATAAGTTATGAACTTATTTGGCTTATTTTGGAATCTTGGAACATTGTAGAGTTAAGATGGCTAGGGTTTGGCTCTAGTACGGGGACGTGAGTCCTCTAAGTCATTGAGATAGTGCACACTTAGGGTGGTCTTCCCTGCGGGTCAGTGCCCGGAATAACCATTGAGGTCTCAGCAGAATTCCGAGCGTGATGTCCAGGTATTCCACTGTTTATTTTCGCATTCAATTCCAAGTTGATAATCATGTTTACCTTGTTAACTTGTGGTTTTGGCTATTCGCGATTTTGATGTTGTTAAGTAGATCCATACTAAATTGATATATTTAGTTGATTTCACACTTTTAGATTTCTAGTTGATAACCTAGAAAATCTATGTCTTGATGTGTGGTATTAGATATTCTAATTATGCTAAATTGTTATATTTAGTTGATGTTGCATTTTAGACTTCAAGTTGGTAACCTTGAGAATCTATATGTTGTTGCTTTATATAAGCATGCGCCTATGTTGTTGATTTGTGTAAGCATGCTCCTATGTTGTTGTTTTATGTAAGCATGACCCTATGTTGCTAAAATTGCATGAATGAGGTGATTGATGCTAGAAATGATCTTAGGTAGCTAGGATGCTCCTTGAGTCTCACCTTTGACATAGACGTTAGGTGGAATGAACCACAATGATTAAATCATGTAACTTGTAAAACGTAGGTCGATGCATGCCTATTTCCTACGAGTAGCTTTATCTTACTCACCTCTACGATACTGGGGCATATTTCAGGTACAAGAATCAAAGTTGAGGTCTTCATTATGCTTGGATGGTTTGTGGACTTGAAGACTTCCATTTTTGTGACGGTTGGCTTGGAATGCCAATTGTAATCTTATATGTCAACATGTGTACATTTGATTCCTTATATGTAATGTGTACATGAGTATACTCTTTACGATGTATTTGACATGTATGAGATGAGGCCAGAGGCCAATGACATGTAATTTGTATCCGATGTAAATTTTGACTTCATGGAATATTATGAAAATATTGAAAAATATTGAGTTTTTGATTCACCATGTTTGCATTGGGTGTGGGAATTCCATTTTGATTCTTTCATTAGCATTCATTAATCATGTATAAAGTATGGCCAAGGGCCAAACGGCATTTTGAAACCATCTCATGATTTTAAATTCCAAGTTTTCATTTCAAACTTCGTTTTCGGCATTTTGGCCGTTGGGGGGTCATATTTTTGGGCCATGGACCATTGTAGCATGTCTTACTAGGTAAGTTATGTTTGCGTGCATGGTTTTTTCCGGGCAAGGATTCTTCTTTGGTGAAATGAGCCTCCTACGGACTCATTTTTCACTTTTGTTGCATATTCTGACCTAAGGGTATTTTGGGAATTTCTTTTGGAAAATAAATTCTATTCTTCACATGGTTGATTAGAAAATATGATTTGCGCTGGGGGGGGGGGGGGGGGGGGCGGGGTGGGTTTCTTTTTCGTGTTTTTCCAGAAAATGCCATCTTGGCGTCGGAAATCGCATCCGAAGTTCAGTTCTCAGTTTTTAAATTTAGCAGCTTTTTGGACCCTCTGGACCAGTTTTTTTGGGAGGGAATTTTGGGCATTTCACGTTGTTTATTTTTTGATTTTGTTTAATGTCACATAAAAAACTCGATTTTGAGGGGGGTTTCTTCTTTGTGTTTTTCCAGAAAATGTCATCTAGGCACTCAAATTTCCATTTTTTCCGGAAAAACCCCTGCTGCCAGGTTTTTGAGTCGCACCCTTACTGCCCCTTCACGTCTAAACGGTTACGAGGGGTTTCATAATCAGTTAGATGAGTGTGGGCAGCATTTTTTTCACTATTTTTGGCTTCCTAACCGGTTAGGAAGGTCTCCTAACCGGTTAGATGTTCATGGGTTGCCCCTTTTGGACCATTTTGCCCCTTCTTCTTCCGTTAGCCATATCTTCTTCATCCGGACTCCGAATCAAGCGATTTTTGAGTCTAAGTTCATTGATTTTTTGTTGTCTTTCTAATGGTATGCTCGGTGGTACCCACTTTTAAGCTGGAAATGAAGATTTTTCCCCTAGGTGCATTCTTGTCCGTTTTTGAAATGTTGTTTCTGCATTTGATTCCTTTGGGTCCCGTGACCTCGTTGAGGGTCACAATGGTGTCTTAGAGTCATGTTGTATCTTTAGAGACTATTGTTTGTCTTTTGCTTCCGTATTTCAGATCCATTATTGGATCATCTTTCGGTTCATCACTGACGCACGGGTTGAAAAACTTGGGCCGTCACATGTTTAGGCAAGTGAAAGTTAATCTTCCACTTTTAGGTGCAATCAAGCAAATTCTGGCTTATGGAAAATTCTTGAAAGACTTGTGCACCCAAAAGCAGAAGAACAAGAGCCAAGCACCAAGAAAAGTGGTTTTGACTGAGCAAGTAATCTCAATTTTGCAACGTAACACTCTTCCAAAGTTTAAGGACCCCGGTTCACCCACTACATCATGTATCATTGGTGATCATATCATTAATCGGGCACTTCTTGACTTAGGAGCAAGTGTTAACCTTCTTTCATATTCGGTCTACGTTAAATTGGGCTTAGGTGAATTGAAACCGACGTCGGTAGTTTTACAACTTGCCGACTGATCCATTAAGAAACCTAGGGGTGTCATTAAGGATGTTTTGATCAAGATTGATAAATTCTTTTTCCCGGTTGATTTCGTTGTCATTGACCCGGAACCGGTTTCCAATCCTAAGAGCCAAATTTCTGTTATCCTTGGCCGTCCTTTCTTGGAAACTGTTAATGCTAACATAAATTGTAGGACGGGGATAATGAAGATTTCATTTGGCCACATGAAGGTGAAGTTGAATATTTTTAATCCCACACCCAATTCACTTGACAAGTATGAAGGAGAGGTCAATGTTGTAGATGAATGTCATGATCTTCAATACCAAGGAAATGAGCTTGTGTGTAAAACCAAAACTTCCAAATGATCATCTTCAACCTTGCATTCTCAAAGTGTTGTTTCAAATTCTTGCTTTGAAAGGGCATGGAAGCCCAATGGTTTTAATGGCATAGACAAAGGATCAAAAGCCTCTTTTGAGCTTGATCCAACAAGTTCTTCAAAGGACCATTTGTTGGGTAGAGTTTAAAGCATCCATCACCCCAACAAGGAGGGGATGCATTATAAGATCTTTGACCCAGGCTAAAAGAGCCCAACGTCTTGCTAGAGACGTTAAAGACTGGCAAAGGTATTCATAGGGTGTCAAAACCCTATTCCTCCCCCATTTCTATCTTTCATTTTATTTCTTGTGAAGTCTAGATACTTGTTTTGGGTTCACATGCATTGAAAGGAACTTTGGTGAAGATTGCATAAGCTTTTATGTCATAATTGAGCATTTGGCAAAGTTCGATCGATCTCACATTAAAGTTCGATCGATCGAACTGTGGATTGCACTCAACACTTAGAAAATTTTTCGACCTGCATCCACTTGCATCCAAAATCAGCTCTCTGTCCCATCGTTTGAACTCATTCTTAGATCGATCAAGAGACCTTCGATCAATCTAACTTTCAAGTTCTATCGATCTCAAGACTCAACACTTAGAAAAATTTTGAGCCTGCAAAAACCTGCATATTTCAACTCTCTGTCTGATCATTCAAAACATTCCAAGATCGATCAAGAAGTTCTTCGATCGATCCAACTTTCTAGTTCGATCGATCTCATGTTCCAACATTTAGCCAAATTTTTGAACCAAAAACCTGCATATTTTTGCTCTCTGTCTGATTGATCGAACTCTTGTTTTGATCGATCACAAATCTTCATTTCATTATTTTAACTTTAGTTTGACTTTTCAACTTTTCAAAAATCCAAAAATATTTTCATTGTTATTTTATTCTATTTTCACTCTCATTTTATTTTGTTTTAATTTTCAACAAGTTTTCAAAAATTCAAAAATATTTTAATTTATTTAGTTTTTAATTAATTAAAAAAAAAAAACTTTGAAAGGAGTTCATCAAAGTTCGATCGATCACAACTCATCTTCGATCGATCGAACTAGTCGGGAAATGTTTTTAAAAACAGAACCAAGGGTCTTGAGATCGATCATTTGGATCGATCTCAACACATCAAACCCTAGCCTCTCATTCCCTTCTACTGCAAATCATCTACCCTAGCTCAAGCTACCACTCCGGCGAGATCCAAGTACCTTGAATCTCAGTCCATCTTCATCTTCTTCATCTCAGTTCTTCACAAACTCGTTCTCTACTTCTCTCATTCTCTTGAGGTAAGTTCCGACACACCCTCCATGGATTTGAACTATCATGCATCAATAGCTGTTTCTAAATGACATAATCGTGTTGGTTTTATGTTAAATCTGCTATTCTCTAAGCTTGAGCATCCATGTCTTTATATATATATATATGTGTATATGGTTTGGGGATTTTGGTTAGATTTAGATGTTGGGCCATGTTTGGGATGGAATTAGGATTCATTTGTGTTATTGGAAGGCCCATGAACACATTCGTGTGGGGCCCATTCTTCAAACGTCACAGATCTATGACTGTTAGGTTTCATCGTCGCACTGTTCGATCGATCGAACAAATTTATGATCGATCGAATATTTGCGATCGATCCAACTCAACCTTCGATCGATCCAACTTTTGTGATTTCTTTTTATGATCGATCAAATTTCACAGATCTCATATACACACTTCATTCATCGTATCTTATGTTCATGCTACCTTATATATGCACAATGCCTGTGATATTCCACATTGGATGCATTTCATACTTACATTGTTTGGTATGTTTAATATTCTACCACTTGCATAGAATCATGCGATGTTTTGTTTTTTCTATCTTATTTGACATACATGTTTCTATATTGTGCCTTATATTCTATATATGCTGGCACTAACTCTTGAAATTCTATTTGCAGACTATGGCTCGCGTCAAGACTGTAGCGCGTAGACACTATCACGGCACCAGACGCAGACTTGACGACGGAGCCGGTCCATCTCATGTCCGTGCTCCTAGTCCCAACCATACACAGAGGAGAGTCCGGTAGTGGACTGGGGAGACTGCACAACCCTCTCATACAGAGGAGCCATTACACCCTACTCCAGCCTAGTCGCCGGCTCATCCAACATTCACTTCATCACCATCTCCACCGCATAGAGGCGCTGAGCAGCCAGCTCAGCCGGCTCCACTTGTTCAGCCAGCTCATCTACAGCGCGATAGGTTCGTGCCTAGATATGCATACATGACTATCGAGTACGAGTCAGCATTCGACACCGCATTCTTCTCCAGATCGGTGCTGACTCGATCTGCCTATCAGGACATCATTCAGTGGGGCCTCTCAGCTATTCTTGCCCCAGTCACAGAGCTGATTTACCTGCGACTGGTATGGTTATTCTATCAGAACCTCCGACTGTCGCTGCGCACTACAGCTGAGCTCATCACCTCTATCGATGGCCATGAGATCACCATTACAGTGGATACTCTGGCCCATTTGACTCACTGTCCATATCGGTGCCCGCTAGAGCTTCAGGAGACCTATCCTAGGCTCCACAAGCCTTCTTACGCCGATATGACAGTTTTTCTCACAGGTTACCATGCCGGTGGTGAGACCTTCGCCACCCGGACATTCTTGCCGGATGACCTCTGGTTTACAGATTCGGTGCTCTACCGAAACATATACATGGCAGTACACAAGATTCAGAGGCGGGGCGACTATATAGCAGCCCTATACGCCTTCTATACCGGCTATTGGGTGTCTATTTCTGCGCTTATCTGAAGCGTGATGAAGAAGCTCTACGATGAGTACGTCAGCAAGGAGGCGCCTGGAAGGGCCAAGTCTCTTCCATTCAGCCACCTCATCACCTGAATTCTCATTGACCAGTGCTATCCCATCCACCCGCAGGAGGACCCCGAGAGAGGTTCCTGTCACTTCCTCAAGAAGGACTGGGACAAGAGCTATAGAGCTATTATCACTCGCCTATAGATCCATGCCGCACTGGCGGCTGCAGAGCTGGAGTTAGAGAAGGAGGCAGCAGCATAGGTATCCCGGCACCAGTAGAGCCAGCAGCAACAGCTCTCGCAACGGATGATGCACTAGTCGATCCAGCTGCCGAGCATGATGACATTGATATAGACATTGACTTAGAGCACTTAGCGGATGACGTAGTTCAGCATTCTCCAGCTGGGTCACCTATCGACGAGCAGGAGCAGACCCAGGAGCTGTCTTCTGACTCCTCCATACCAGACTTGACCCCCGGCTTCGGAATGCGTTTGCAGACGTTCGAGGACTTGCAGACGTTTGAGGACGTTGTTGTTACCATCAGAGTTGACCTCACGGCCCACAGAACGGAGTTCGCTACCTTCCGCACGGATGTCACAGCTATGTTCAGAGATCTATCCCGAGACATCCGCGGCGCCAGACCTGCCCGTCCTACCTCATCTTCCAAAGCTCCTAGTCTTTTCTATCTTATGATCTCTCTCTCCTTTTGATACTTTATTATTGTCACTGTATTATTTTTAAAGCCGGTCTGTCGGCTTTGATATTTTTGTTGTACCTGCACTTTCTCTATTTTATATATCTATTTTTGCTATGGATGTCATACGATTGTATTTTCATATCTGTATGTTTGACTCCATCTAGTGCATTGTAATACCCCTAGTTTTCAAAAGGATAAAATGGGAATGGGAATTTAATTTTCAATTTTTATTTGTATTTCATTTTATTTATTTATTTAATAATTGGACTTATTTGTTATTTGGTTAGCTTAATTGTTTTATTTGCTTAATTGGTAATTCTGTTTGTTTAAATTGATTGTAATTGTTTTAATTTAATTTTTGGTTAATTTAAATATTTGATTATTGTTTTAATTTAATTTTGGGTAGCTTATAAAATTATGTGTGTTGTATTTATAGTTTAGGGTTATGGTTTTATTTCATATAGTAGCCGACATATCATTAGGCTGGATCTAGGACTAGGGCTTCATAGAAGGCTATATATATATATAAAGTTATAAGCAGACTTAAGATTGGGGACGGCAATATATATATATATATTCTTTTATGTCTGCAACCCTATTCTTTTAATATCTTGAAAAGGAAAAAAACAGAGGCTCTGGAATGTGAAGAGAGATACACAGTGAGGGTCTTGAGAGGTGAATTAAGGGGATTGTGCGTGGGTTGAACCAAGACATAACAAAGGTAAAGAACAGTGATGAGAGGAGGGAACAGTCTTGGAGAATTTAGCAACGGCGTTGAAAGGTTTCGAACCGAAACCTAAAGGCAAGTTTCAGACTATCTCTTTCCCCATAAACTTGTGTTCTGTGCATCTTATATAGACTCCAGGAACTTAATTAAACTATTAAAAATGGATTTTATGCATTGCTAGATGATATCTGAAATCTGTTCTGTGTTTTTAAAGTTTAAACCCGTTGTTGCTTAAACTATTCTGTTGTGAGTTTAATTTCTGTTGTTTGATTTACACTGGAGTATGAGAGGTTCTAGGACTATAAGAACTTAAATAGTATCCAAAGAATGCTACAAAAGTTTGGGATATGACATTGGACTTCGCCGGAAGCGAAGAAGAACTGAATTGGTTGGTTGCATAAACTGTTTTTGTCTTCAAATTAGATTTTTACCAAACTATTCTTAGGGAAATCAAAGGAGTTTCTAGGAGCATTAGGGATTAAATTGAACTATTAAAATCCTTAAGAAACTTAGGACAGACAGTTGGAACTTCTGCCGGAAGTAAAGACGAAGCAGTGAAGCAGAGAGGGGCTCTCAGGGGTGAGAGCCGGCTCCTAAATGGTGGGAGCCGGCTCCCATGAAGAGAGAGCCGGCTCTCCATGAGGGAGAGCCGGCTCTAGAAGCCTAGGAGCTGGCTCCAATAAAGGGGAGCCGGCTCCCATGGGAAAAAAAACCCCTACGGGGTGTTTTCTGCAATTTTTCCGGAGTTCTGGGGTTAAACGCAAATACTGAAAATTAAAGGGGGTTTCAAATATGTTAAAATTAACCTATTAAGACCCTTAAATAGTTGGTTTATGCTAGGGTGCTAATCTTAAGGGGCATCAGGAAACAGAAACGTGGAATAGGCATGCTGTCAAGGAAGGATGAATGTTTAAGTTAATAAGTTTGTTTTAACTGACTGGTATCGAATTACTTTTGGGATGTTATATAAATTATTTATATACTTTAATGGAGGCCAGAAAGTTTGGTGTAGGATATGGGCATAGACAGTATTAACTTAGATATTAAATGGTATGATGTCAGGAGTGGTAGGAATTTTAGTTGCTAGTTTTGGTTTAGCGAACTAAATGGACTAGTATGGGAATACTGTTGGGGTTTCATATAATGAGTAGTTTGGAATTCAGAGTGTCATATTATATCAGGCACAGGTTTTGGAGTGGAGGATCAAAGGGACGTCATGTGGTGTAAATGCTAACTTTCATGCTGTTAAGGATTTGTGGAGGATTTCATTACTTGTCTTTGTTTTGGCAATTTAAATAATATGGTATGAGAGGATGGTTTGGGATATCTAGTATAATGTATTTAGTTCATATTTCTGGCTGATCATTATAACAGGTTATGGATGTTAATTGATGAACTGTTTAACTTCTGTTTTATCAATTGTATGGATGTGGATAATATAAATTGTTTATCAATACTTTAACAATTTATTTGGAGGATTAATGATTATAATCATATACTGGATGCATAATAGGATCTTAATAATATCTGTTTTCTATTATGCTGGTTTCTGGATTTATTTGACGTTCTAATGAATGTGCATCGTTTATAGATCATTTGCATTATATGTACCGGTATGGGACGGTGACATATCAGGGATGGATTAGATCAAAAAGCTAAGTCCTACCCCTTCTTACATACGGAATGGATTAACTAAAATAGTTAACTCCTACATGGATACATGTCCTGTCAACTAAAATAGTTGAACGACATAATGGATGCTTGTTTTATCTTTCGGCATTAGGAAGGAATTTATATATATATTTATGGTACTGTGATACGAGCTTGAGTTTCCTGATCACGGTTAGGGTGCGTATATCGCAAAGGTTGAGTAGCTAGATATAGCAAATGTTCCCTGGTAGGTCTAGGTACTTGGCCGCTGAAAAGCGTGTTTTATATGTCACTTTCTACCCAGGCTGAACTATGTTATAGGCTAGTGAGCATCCTATAGTGTGTATTTATATATCTATGGACTATTGTAGATATTGCCGAGCTATCTAGGATGTATCTGCGTATCGGGTTTATGTACGGATTGTAGTAGGATGGAACTTGCATGTGGGCCTGGCCTACCTTTATTTTTCAGGTGTTCGTGAGTACCAGGCTTAGGGTTTGATCGTGGTGATACAGATACAGTCACTCACTCTTCCGACTACATAGGATTTTCTTTCTTATTTTGGTTTTGGATTTTAATTCTGTAAATGTTTTACCAGTTGAAAATATTAGGGGTCCACTAGATGGATTCCCGAGTTGTACGGATTGGAAATTTTATTTATATTAAAACTTTTATTTTGGAGGTTTTACAATTAGAATTCTTTTCAGCGTATAATTATTTTATTCTTAATTCAGTTTTATTCCTGCTTGTTTATATATTGATTGTCTGGTATCCTTCGGATCTGTGCCCGGACTTGATCACCCGTGGTTCTAGAATCGAGGGGTATCACAGTTGGTATCAGAGCACTCCAGGTTCTAGTGTCCTTAGGAGTGTCTTTCATTAGAAGTCTTCCGCGTTGCGTCTCTTAAAAACTAAGAGCCATATTAGGATTCGTTGTACTCTTTTACGGTTCATTAGGAAGAGCTCCTGGTGTCAATTATATTCCATAATTATGGAATGGTTGACACTAGAAGGAGGATGGGGTCTGCGCCGACAGCAAATCAGACCGAAGGAGTAGAGGAGTACGTTATCGAGTTCTCTATCAGAAGCAGAACTTGGGATTTAAGGTTTAGTTCCGGTTGGCATTACTTTTAGAAGTGTAAGCCAATGAGGGATATAGGAGTGTGTTTTAGGTCCCCGTATAAAAGGACTAA